TCATGAGAAGGGAATTCTTGTTTAAATTTTTCGTGTAATTTGCTTTAATCTATTCTTTTGATGTACTATTGTTTCCAATAATTGCTACTTAAATTTTAACGGTCTTCATGTAACATTTTTAAATTTAAGATATTGCCTAGGGAGAAGTTTAATAATTTTTGCTTTTTTTCTAATATTGTAATGGCGATTAAATCAACAAGAACAAGATGTGCAGGGAATGTAGCATGCATATAGGAAATATTGGTGTATATTGAAGGATAATAAAACATATTTGCAAATAACAGACGTTAAGGATGTGGAATGGATTCGGCTGGCTCAGTGTAGTGTACAATTTCTGGATTTTATGAACAGGTTACAAAAATTAGTTCGTTTCTTCACCAGGTGCATAACAGTCAGCATGTCATTGATGTTTCCCTGGGTTTTAATGTCGTGTGGACTTGTAAATAGATGCCATCGTTTCGGATAAATAAACTTTCTCCATCTTTAGGGCCTTTACAGCACCGCCACGTAAGCCCTGAAGATGGAGACGGTATGTTTTTATGTTGGTTCCTACCTATGCGTTACAACCCAAAACAACATCGTCATATTCACCTCCTTGAGAACTGAAAATATCACAACTATCAGCGTTTATAGAAAGATTCTGTATTATGTAGTTGTCTTATTATTTATATTTACATCTTGATAATTCTAGTATCATAACAATATGTTGTGATGTATTTTCTTTCAAATATTATTGGACGCTAAATTATTTCGTAGATGTAAGTAGCTCAGTTATATTCCGATGTTCGTCGGTAGACCACATAGGAAGGAAATTACGATTGGGAAGGAATTTTGTCGTGACTGAGTAAACAAGGTCTAGGGGAATCTCCCAATTCCTGACGTCACATTCAGGCTCACTCCTTCCAGATCGAGGAGAAATACGATGACTGCAGGCAGGAAAGATTTCTATAAGTTACTGTATTCGGAAACGCGTAGTGGAATATCCAAGAAATTAAGAAAATTGCTTTGACAGAAAGTACATTATTAGAAGTTTCCTCACAGTACATATTTAACAGAGTTTCCATACAATTTTGTAAATGTAATAGACCTTCAGCTCGTCTTATCACGCTAGAAAAACTCATTTAACTGATAGGTTACATTTTCCTGTTCCCTGTAATTTCTAAACAAATATTTACTCTTATTTTAAGAAACGATTGGAAACTACAAATTTTGATTGAATTGTAATTGTTTGTTGAAATATTGTCATGTTAGCGATACTGGGGCGTTTCTTGGAAAGGAAACGCCAGACAGGTTTCTAGGGAACCATTGTTTAATGGCCAAGGTCTACTACTTTGGCTACAACAAAATACAGGTGGAGCTATAAACAAGGCATCATTTCCGTTCTTCTTATGGACTGGCAGGACTCAATTTGCTTTTAACAGTCATGTTTCTTGCATCATCATTGCCAAAGGCCATTTTTGAAATCTCAGTTCACCGCTCAGTGGCTAACCTACCGTCAGTCAAAATTGGCGCAGGTATTCAAATGAAAACCACTGCACAGACATACTGAGGTCTTTGATCTCGCTCCGAGAGAGAGAGAGAGACACGTCATGCAGAACCTGTGGTAACTTGTCCAAACCAACCTAATGCAGAAGGTTCTAGTTTTTTTGGGAGGTGGGGAAGTGGTGATGGACGTTGAGCGTATTTGAACCCCCAAGGGTTCTCAGCCTTCCCCGACCTGGGGCCACATTCATCCATTTCTTATCTTCTGCGAGTTGCAACGTTGTGGATCAGAACCATTTACTGAAACAACATGGCAGTTTGTCAAACATTGGATATTCCTAAAGAACGTTTACATTTACAAACGGGTTCCGACGTTGCTCGACCCTTAAACACAATCAGTTACAGGAGAGTTAGCGATCAGGGTCAAAGCAAAGGCGAAGCCCTCGGCGGGAATCCCAGACAAAATAACAGCCAGAGTTTCGGATGTTATGTGTCCGTGTAACTAGCGTTGATTCACCGCGAGCACAATGCCACGTTCGGTTCTTTAACAAAGGATACGTACGTCATTGCAGGAAAACGCCAAGAGGAAATGTCACGTGCCGAAGGCAGCCCTAGTTACGTGGGAGTCCTGTATTGCCTACAAAATATCGCAACTCAGTAGTACGAGGTTAATATCACACCACAGACCTTCTAATTAAAAATGCAACATCTCATTAGAAATAAACTCTTAACCGCTGGTACTACAATGCCTGTCCTGGAATTTCTATTTACATAAAATAAAATATAAACGTAAGCTGCATTGTTGTCGACGTTTGTCGCATCTAACCACTTGTTCCCCCATTAAATATGACTTATATTTCACTAAAGCTGGAGAGACTAAAGAATTTTAAGAACTCCGAGAACTATTGTTCGCAGGCTGTACTGTTTACAATATACGTGCAAGCAAATGCATGGCTCAAAACATTCCGTTACGAGAGGACAGTTATAATAATTTCAGCCAAGTCCTGTATTACACAACTCGAACGTTCTTATTTTGTGAATTTTAATTGGGGGGATTCTTAAATGACACTCCTTGATATTTCTGGAATACACCGGAGCTACGCTGTGTATGGAAAGACTGAATTTTCAAAATTCCTCACTGACGACTGCTGTGTCTTCGATTCTGTGTCGCTAATTTCATGACGCATATTTGGATCGTTATCACGGATCTGATTTCAACACGCGAGGTAATTAATTCTCTGCCATATTTTGTTTCCGGCAGGAAACGGCTGACGCAATCCTACTCATCTTCCGGTATTCATTGGATAGGTCAGCTGGGTGGATGTTATGGTCGTTGTAGGTGGCATCGGTGATAAAAATACCAAATGATTTACCGAGAAAATGAAATCCCGGCAAACCTATGAGTAATCTTACATTATAGACTGAACATATCACAGTCCAATAGATTTTATAAATTTCAAAAACAGCACAAGTTGTGAACCACTTAATTGTGTAATTTTATCCATTTCCGTGCTCCTACATGTCTTTTACACCAATCACGATTTAAACCAGGGGTTCTCAACCCGCGGCCCACCGATTTCGGTAGAGT